TTCCAAATAGGAATCGGGGCTGGACAGTCTGAGACCAAAACTGGGTCCATGCCTACTTATGTATGTGCAATAAAGGAAATTAAGACATATTAATGTAAGTTATCGGCATATATTTCGAAATTATATTATTATTTTCAACTAATAATAGCAAGAAATTATTCTTTTATATTTATAATAACATACAAATAACAAGAATAACAATAGTAATCATAATAATAATAATAACAATAATAATAATAATAATAATAATAATAATAATAATAATAATAATAATAATAATAATAATAATAATAATAATAATAATAATAATAATAATAATAATAATAATAATAATAATAATAACCATAAAAATATTGATAATAGTAATACGATAATGATGAAGATGATGATAATGATGATAAGGATATTAATAAAATAATAATGATGATGATGATGATGATGAAGGCAATGAATCATGGCCGAACGTTTCTGATCTAAATTTTTTAATTCAAACCTAATCTAAATTTTAAGATCTGATATGATTTAAGTAAAATAAAAATAAACAATAAGCAATAAAAATAAAATGAATAGAAAAGCTTCTAGCAAAGAGATGCAACTGAGGATGTTTTTACTTGTACTGAAATTTTCGAGTCTAGTCTGGTCTGATTTAGTCTAGTATTGACTGGACTGGTGTGGTATACGTCTGCTTTCTATATATTTTATAGCTATCCAAGTCTGGTTTGATTTGGTCTAGTTTGGTCTGATTTGGTCTGATCTGGGACTGAAAACAGTCTAACTAAAAACCTAAATCCTTGCACACAAAGAGAACAACGGTTGAGTTTTATTCATAATAAAAATATTTATTATAATAATATTGATTATAATAATACTACAATAATAAAATTTACATAAAGTTGAATTTTTATCTTCTACATAACACATAACATGCATAGAGGAAAACATTAGAATAAAAAATTAAGTGAAAACGTTAATGAAAATCAAACCAATCACATGCATAGAATAATTAAATTGTCAAAGCCATACAAAGAATGTTGGGAATCAAACGGTTGGCTTATAACCGAGTTAAGGAGTAAACATAGAGACTATGATGAATGGTACAATTAGTAAAACAAATTGTACAAGTGTAGATTGCTTTAGTGTTACACCAACATTTTTATCATTCCTAAAATGCCCTAACCATCATTGGTGCTTATAAGTTTTTAGACAATACATATGACGGGCACTTTATCGTGTGTGCACTCAAAATAAATTCAATACTAACAACTATACATAGTATAGTGAAGTAGAGTTCGTATCCACAGGGAAAGGAATAATTCTCTTTTTATGAACTAGTAAATAAAAGGGGGGGTTTGGTATTGTTGGAATTTAATTAATTTAATACTAAGATGAAGGACTTATATGAGATTTAATTCAAAGATAAAAAGGACTTGGCATTGCTACTTTCCACTTGTTGATATATTTTAATCGATCATTGTTATATGTATAACGTATTCCCTCTCGAATACTCAATCGAGGAGTATATCCAATTCATCGAGGGTAGTTATTAACAACGACCGTTCATTAATAACTCTTACTATTAGTCAAGTATAAAACACCGTCATATACCGACTTGATAGTAGCATTTAATCTCTCAACTCCTTGATGAAATCAATTGAGATTGATAACCTCAACACAACGGTTTCGGTTTAACCAACAAAATTAGTCCCTCTTAAGTTTATTAACCACGACCGTGCATTAATAAACTGAAGTTACTTACTTGTGAAACCATCAACGATTAACCATCGGTTCGTTGATCGTTTCTAGTAGTAATTAATGTTGAGATGTTAACTAATTGTCATCTTAGCAACACTCCCTAACATTAACATAGAGATAGATTAAGGGAAGAATTAATATTCAAGGAAGAAGATTAAATATGAATAATCCTACTATAACTAATGTCAAGATGTTATCTAATTGTCATCTTAGCAACACTCCCCAACATTAATATATAGAGGAAGAAAATAAATACTACCATAATTAATGTCGAGATGTTAACTAATTGTCATCTTAGCAACACTCCCCAACATTAATATATAAATAGATTAAGAGAATAATTAATATTCTAGGGAAGAAGATAAGAAAATAACTCACAACTTTAATAATCAACAAGCTTCAAGAGCAACACCAAGAAATGGAAGTTTAGCTCCTCATTTGGAGACTAAACATACTATAAAAATATAAAAAAATACTATTCTAAACTGAGCTTAAGAGTATGGAAGGAGTTGTGAAAAGTGAAGGAAAATGGGGCTATTTATAGGTGTTTTCAACACCCTGGGGCATTTACCCGACCGGGTCAAGTGCCCACCCGACCGGGTAAATGTCAAAATCAAATATTTCTCACGTTCTGGCGATCTTCGGCATGTTCTGGTGTTCCGGGTCACATCTGACCCGACCGGGTCAAGTAGGGGACCCGACCGGGTCTGGCAATTTCCTTGCTTCTTCGGTTGTTAAATCTTACCCGACCGGGTGGGGATTTCTACCCGGTCGGGTTTTGCTCCTGGGCAGTCAAATTTCTTGTTTTATTCTCTTCAAAGTCCTCTTTTCCAACACCATAAATCCTAAATATATTTTACAACTTATAAATGAAGATTAAAATACAATTACAACTAAAATCACACAAATGTTTACAAACTAAATAAAACGATAAATAATACACACAAATCAAACATAAAAACATACACTTATGCACTACTAATTAGTGCATTTCAACATATTTACACATTGTCTATATAATACAGAGTACTACTTGATCTTCGTCTCATTTTCTTTTTGTTTTATTTCTTCTGTTTTTACTCCAGGGAGCATCTGGAGGAGGGAGCCTGGGGCCTGGAGTAATAACGGTTGAGACTCATTCAATTGAGTTTCGAACCCGAGACCTCCCATAAGGGACAGTGAGTTGGCGACCAGCTAAGCTGGACCGCTCCCTCTCTTCTCATTTTATCTATCTTATTACTACTTTCATTTCTTTTTTGGAAAGAAATTCGTAATCTATATTATTTTACTTTATTATACTCGGGTTTCAATCACAACTTTTTTTTCAAACACTTTATTATTAATTGTGTCAAATCAAAATAAGACGCCAAAAGTGGGATAAAAATGGTACTCCCTCCGTCCCACTAAGATTGTCCCATTTTATCTTTTCGGGAAATCTCACTAAGATTGTCTCTTACCAAATTTGATAAAGTTTGTGTGGTTCTAAATCATTCTTACTTTATCAATTTAACATCAACCACACAAACTCACTTTTGTTTCAATCGTAGTGATATGGGGGTAGTATTTGTTTTCAGCAAATATTAATTTCATCATTTATTATGCGTGCAACCGAGTCAATTGACTTTACTAATAATATTACCGGGGGTATCTTTAAATAATGTTAACTTCGTTGAGTTCTTTTGCACTTGAATCTTGAGGTTTCAGTTTACAAATTACGATTGACCGGAGCAAAAGTAAATTTGTACTCGACATATTATAGTTTAATGTTTGTAATTAAAATTTACACATGAGCATGCAGAGTTTTTGTAACACGTACAAAACAAACATATCATTATTCCAATAAATGTTTATGGCTTACAATACTTTCAGGCACCTCAATAAAGTAAACACCCCGCTTAGCTAGAACATGGGCAGCGCGGTTGCAGACCGTTTACAAAAACAGAGACTAAACTCACTCTTAATTTTCAAAAGACTTTGAATATCCTCCAACCGCAAATCAATATAAAATCCGCCTTGCAACCCTCACACCCCATTAACAACCACAAGTGCATCTGATTCAAATTCCACACAATCTCATCCTTCTTCCAAAGCATCTATCAATGCAGCTCTAATCCCCAAAGCTTCCGACTCTGATGGACTCCAAACTCCATTCCGGCCTGGATCTAATGGCAGCCTTGAGGCATGTCCTTTCATCTGTATGAGCAACCCAACTCTAAGCTCTAATTCATCCCGCATCAAGCACTACATCAACTTTTATAGCCCCTACTCGAGGCTTCTGTCATTTATCCAACCCCTCGTTACTCCTTGAATCTGCATCATCTCAATGTATCCCATCATTCCCATGGGTTAAAATCCCAAGCATTTATCATTCCATCTGCACATCTTACCACCGTCATACTGCTTTGATTTTTCCCTTTCCAAAATACATTATTTTTTCGCTTCCATAGACTAGAGAGGACTGGTATACAACTTCCACATTTAATTTTAATATTCCTATCCAAATTTATTTTACCCATAACTCAAAGCTGTCCGCCGGATTATGTTGCCGCTCGTTCGCAGCAACCAGAGATAGCATCATTAGCATGCAAAGTTGCAAAATGGGAATTTAAATGTGATACAATTCAAGTTTGATACTAGTATATAAAATAAAACGTTATGATGAAATTTAGTTGACCATGAACTGCGTATTAAATAGACAATAGCACTCGTAAAGATTCAAATGTGACCGCGAGGAGGAAGCGTGAATTATTATTATTATCACCTAAAAACACTAGCATACGTAGGGTTGGACCACTACAAAAAATGCATAAATGTTTATACGGATTTGTACAAAATTACATACTCGGTACATATGTAATAATCGAGATATATCGAATTTGACCTAGGACGCCTAGCTATATCTATGCCTCTGTTCATTTTTGTTTTTGACCAAAATCTGTGCCTCCGTTCATAAACAATAAAAATATAAATTCGACATAATTTTAAAATATTAACAATTTAAATATATATAAAAAAGTTATAGCAAACCCTCATTTAACAAATTAAAAACACACAAAAGTTATAACGATTCAAAAATAAAAGAAAATTTACACTCTCACATGACAAGTAAGAAATATGGGCTAACCATCTCCTTTTGAAACTGTTTCTACTTTATATTTATTTCAATTCCGGTTCAAATTTAAGCAGACAAAATCATATTTCAATACTTATAGAATATACATGGATCAAATATATATTGAATCAGGCTACTTGCTACTTCAGATCAGATTAGACTTAACACCCATCATTTGGTCACCCTCACTCCCCAGCCGCCACCAACTATCGCCACCTTCGAATAGAACACCGAAAATTGTACGAGTAATAAAGTCATTAGAGTTTACGGACGCCAAATCCAATTGGCGCTCTGGCGGTTATATGCTATAATAATCATCAATTTATTAAACCACTTTAGCTGCATTATTAGGTTAAGTTATACTTTTAACTGGTACCGATGGACCGCTCAACTAATTAATTAAAATTTATACATAGAAGGTGCTAGAAGAATACATTTTGGATCATTTTTTTCCAAACTAACCACTAGAGGCAACTTGTACTGTTGTACAAGGTGTCCGTCCACGTAAGTGGAGAGTGTGAAATAATGAAACAGGATGTCCTCTAAGGATCTCTGGCAGATATATATATAGTAAAGAGGTTTAATGTAAAGTACATAAATAACTCTATATTTATTCTATTACACCCCCTTAAGTTGTGCGGAAGAAACAACGCGTATGTAAGTATGTTGCTTTCAAAAAATGAAATCGCTGACTAGGGAGGCTTTTGGTAAAAATATATGCCAACCGTAGATGTGTAGGAACATGTCGAACAACCAGATCTCTATGAGCAACTCGTTCACGAACCAAATGATAATCAATCTGAATATGCTTACTTAAGGCATGCTGAACTGGATTTGCAGTCAAATATGAAGCTAAAATATTATCACATAAGAGATGCACGGGTTCGGTGATGGGATAGCCAAGCTTGAACAGAACAGAGCTGATGTAAAGTGTATCTTGAACAGTGTAAGCAATGGCACGATACTCAGCCTATGTGGAGGATTTGGACACTGTAGGTTGCTTTTTAGACATCCATGAAATTAAATTCGGTCCTAAAAATACAACAAAACATGTGGTCGAACGAGAACTATCCGGACATCCAGCCCAATCTGCATCTGAATAGGCTAGTACGCATGTAGGACGGTCTGAATGCTGAAGCCACAGGCCATGATCACGCGTTCCCTGCAAGTACCAGAAAATTCTTTTGACTGCAAATAGATGAGTAGTACGAGGGGCATGCATGAACTGAGACACTAAGTGCACTGCATAAGTAATATATGGCCGTGTCAAAGTTAAATATTGTAACGTACCTACCATGCTACGATACTCAGTAGAATCCACAAGTAACTCACCATCGGAGAGAGACAGAGTAGTACGAGACGCTAATGGAGTGCGTACGGGCTTAACTGTATGAAGATGAAACCGAGCCAGGATATCTGTGACATATTTGTTCTGAGAGAGAAACAGACCTTTAGAGGAACGAGTTGCCTCAATGCCCAAGAAGTAGTGTAAATTACCCAGATCCTTCATGGCAAAATGATTAGAAATAATGGAAATAAACTGGTAATGGTGGACTTAGAATTGCCAGTAATAATAATGTCATCTACATATAATAATAAATAAATAATACTATTATTCTGGCGATAAATAAACAGTGAATTATCAGACTTACTACAAGAAAATTATGCTGAAGAAGAAAACTACTAAACCTATGAAACCATACCCGTGGTGCTTGCTTAAGGCCATAAATAGCATTTCGCAGACGACACATATGATTAGGAAAATTAGGATGAATAAAACCATGAGGTTAACGCATATACACTTCCTCTGTCAAGTGACCATGTAGTAAAGCATTTTTAACATCAAGTTGACGAATGACCCAACGAAAAGAAACAACCAAAGTGAGAACAATACGAACTGTAGTAGGTTTAATGACAGGACTAAATGTTTCAGAAAAATCAATACCAGCCTGTTGATTAAAACCTTGAGCAATTAATCGGGCCTTATGGCGCTCAACTGACCCATCTGAATGATATTTTGTTTTATAAATCCACTTACAACCTACAATGTTCTTAGTGCTGTCAAAGGGCACCAGATCCCAAGTATTATTATTAACGAGTGCATTAAATTCATCAGTCATGGCCTCCCTCTATTTTAAATGTTTATTAGCATTAGTAAAACAAGTAGGATCCGCAGGAGCAACAACTGTACTTAAATTAAAAATAGTTTTGGGTTTAAAAATTCCTGCCTTGGCATGGGTTTGCATGGGGTGCTGATTACCAACCGTAGTGGTCACACCCGGGGTGGACAGAGTGGAAGCGGGTTCGGCCTGGAAAAACTCAGGCTGGAAGTCGATGGTCTGGGAAATATTAGTCGGGGGAGTCTCAGCCTGGTGGGTGGTGGTCGGACTGACAGTCGTTTGGGATGTGGGAGTACAAACAGAGGAGTAAGGTGAGGAGGGGCTCTCGGGTTCAGTGGTCTGTTTGATGGGAGGAGTATGGGGTGGGGAAGATGGACTGGACCGTGGCGATAGAGAGGAAGAAGAGACCGGTGTGAGGCTAGATAATGGTGATCGATGACCGGTCGAGGGTATGACGATAGGGTCAACGGAGCTATTGGTAAGAGATAACGGGAATGATGTGGACTGAGATGGTGGACGAGGATGAGAGTTCTTAAGTGTTTGAAAGGGATAAATATCCTCATGGAACCTAACATGACGACTGACATAAACGCGACCTGTGATAGGATCAAAACAACGATAGCCCTTGTACCCAGATGCATAGCCAAGAAAAACGCATTGAACAGATCGAGGTGAAAGTTTATTAGCAGAAGTGGCGGAAAAGTTTGGGTAGCAAACTGAGCCAAAGACACGCATAAATGAATAGTCATGAACATGATGAAAAAGTCTTTGGTACAGAGAAAATCCATTTAATGTAGGAGAAGGTAATCTGTTAATAATATATGCAGCAGTAAAAAGGGCATCTACCCAGTATTGGCTCGGCACAGATGCCTCGAGTGGCATGTTGCAAGTCAATTCGAGGAGATGATGGTGTTTTCGCTCAGTAACCCCATTTTGTTGAGGTGTGTCGGGACAAGATTTTTGAAAATAAATGCCATTTGATGAGAAAAATTGCTGCATATTATGATTAACAAATTCACCACCTCCATCACTTTGAAATTTTATAATTTTCTGATTTAAAAGATTTTCAACCAAAGCTTTAAAATTTTTAAAGTGCATAAAAACTTCACTCTTAAGGCGCATGGGATAAATCCATGTAAAACGAGAGTAATCATCAATAAAACAGACATAATATTTGAACCCAAAATTAGAAAGAACAAGGGATTGTCATACATCAGAATGAATAATTTGAAGAGGACAAGAAGAATAATGACTAGCATCCACAAAGGGAAAACGTTGTGATTTTCCTAAACGACAAGCCACACACTCATGAGTAAACGGAGAATGACTACATAAAAATTGTTTGCATTTGAGAAACTGTAAAATATTGTCACCGCAATGACCTAATCTACGGTGCCGCACAGGGTCAGATGCTAATAGAAGCTAAAACTACTGATGAAGATGATGGCAGGCTGATAGGGTAGAGTGGTCCACTACCGGTAGCTCGAAGAAGCACCGCCCCCGAGGCTTTGTCCTTAATCAAAAAAGAATTTTTTTTATTATCTGCGCAAAGCCGTTGAATTGAAATTAAATTATATTTTAACTGAGGCACATGATAAACAGATTTTAATGTGAGAGGACGACCAGAAGAAGGTAATGAAACAACACCAATATGACAAATGGGTAAATGGGCACCATTAACAACACTAACCGAATTATAGCCATTGTAAACAGGATTTATTGAATAAAATACTTTCAGATGCGGTCATATGAGCAGAAGCTCCGGAGTCAGGATACCATAAGGCGGAATTAGATTCTCCAGGAGTAGTCAACAAAGCTGGAGCAGACGATCGAAGGAGAAAAATGAGATGGACAGGTGATGGTGGAATGACCTGCAGAAAAATAGATTTGAGACACAACATGATGGGGAACAGACCCAAGAATACCCCTGTCTGATGGTGAGCCTGCGGAACTAAAGTTAGTGATCAAAACAGGTAAGGCATTAATATTTAAATGTGACAAAGCAAAATTACAAATAACAGTACTCGTAGATGGCACACCCCCTAAATGTGAAGCATATCCAACCACGACCTCTCCCGCGACCACGTCCACGTTGCGGTTGATGTTGCTGAGCCGAGTACCGAGGTTGTTGTTGCTTTCCGACCGGTGGTTGCTGAACCTGATGGGACCCGCCCTGTTGTGGGCCAGTTTGCGAACTGGAGTAAGGAGCAGAAGCTGCAAACGCGTGATGCATGGAGGAAGAGTCCTGGGATCCGGGATACAGTACCCGCTGTTCTTGCTCAAGTAGATGATTACGGAGTGTTTCAAACGGGAAATTTTGAGGGGACAATGAGACAGTGGTCAACAAAGATTCATACTCAGGACCCAACCCCATAATGGTAATTTTAAGCAACTCACGAGACGATGCGGGGCAATTAATTGTAGCAAGATCATCAAATAAAGATTTTATCTCCCGTAAGTATCTATCCATGGACTGTTCAGGTTTCTTTTTAATTTGAGAAAACAACCTCTTTAATTCCATAGATCTAGCTAAACTAGCTGACATAAATCGAGATTCTAACCTCTCCCAAATTTGATAATAATGTTTTAACTCCCGAACATTAATAAGAACATCACGATATAAAGTTGCAAATAAACAAGAACGAATTGTTTGATCAATTCTTAGCCAAATTGAAAATTCGGGATTGGGAGATTGACGGTTTAGAACATCTATGGAATAAGGAGGAGGTACCTGAATAGAACCATCTACCATGCCAAGGAGAGCTTGCGAGACAAGAAAAGATTCAAACTGGGTCCTCCATGTAGTATAATCTTTAACCGCAAGAAGCTTGGTAGTAACAATATTGGTGACATTGGTTGCCACATGAGAGATGGTGGTGGCGAGTTCTACCAAGGGGGACGCTGTAGGGCTGCCAACGGTGGTCCGAGGAGGTGGTAAGGTAGATGACACCCCCGGAGAGCCAACGAACGTGGCCCCTGCGAATGATCCAGTCGAGAAGGGTGGCAGATCCAAGGTAACGTGCGGCACCAGAGTTGGTGCTGGCCAAGAGAACACCGGCGGCAGATTTTGAAAGACGGAATACGTCCCAGCAGATCGACTTGGTGAAGAAAAATTGGAAGAGAATGACACGCCGGATTGAATGGAACTGAGAACAGGTTGCGATCCAAAGGAAAGAGGAGCGCCGAGAGTCAAGGACGTGCTGAATGCTGCGGATGATGTTGCGGCGGCTGAAGAAGCCGGTGCGGAGGTCACGGCTGAGCTGCCGATCGCGGCTGAGGAATTTGATGTTGAGGAAGACATCGTGCGGCGCCAATAGTAGAGAGAGAGAGAGAGAGAGAGAGAGAGAGAGAGGGACGATTTTTTTTAGGTTTTTGAGTGTGTGCTCGTGATACCATGTGAAATAATGAAACAGGATGCCCTCTAAGGAGCCCTGAAAGAAATATTTATAGTAAAGAGATTTAATGTAAAGTACATAAATAACTCTATATTTATTCTATTAGAGAGGATAGTCTTGTAATGATTAGGAAAAGTTATATTTATCGATTCTTATATATGACTAATAAATTTAAATATATCTATATATAACTAATTATTAATTGGAGAAAGAATGTACCATACTCAATATAGAGCGCTTAAATATACACCATACAATATACATGCAAGCTAGCACCATTAGTTTACAAATGAAGAAAATGCTTATTTTATTTTAGGAATCGCTATTTCTTTTAATCATAATCTAAATAATTTTCTCCAGAGATTAGGTGTAGCCTTTTCTAAAAGTTCCTAAATTGTATAGTTAATTTACCACATAATTTTCTTGTCTTTGGTAAACAACACTTACATATAGGGTAGGTCAGATTGTTGGTGACCGCTTAGGTTATGTCTTTCGTTGAATTAGTAACTCAAATACTGAACCGAAACATAGTATGCCGTCTAATCTTTGTTGGGTAATCATTATTTCAGTCCATTTCAAATTGAATTGAAAACAAAATGTGTTGGAGCGTTGCAACGATCGTTTACCATGATACGATGGGAAACAAACAACCGTTTGAACACACAACCGATCGTTTCGACGAACAGAAACCAAGCTAGAACGCTAAGGAAGATTTCTGGAAACTTGAGGTGATTTAGGCTAAAAAATTATGTGAACATTGTGTAAGTTCGTGTATGAATGTGTGTTGTTGCAAAACACCTGCCAGCTATATATATGGATGAATTTTTTGTGTGTTAACTGACCTTTAATAGACATGAATGTTGTACATAAATGATCACAATGTTGGGCAATAATATGTTGAAAACTGTCCATTTAAATACGCATTAATAGATAAGAACGTCGGGCAATAAAGTCTGTAACGGTTAAGAACCGTTCTGGTGTGCGGCCAGAGCAGAACCCGTTTCTGCAGCGACCAGAACAGACGAGTCTTCATGTTCTGATGCTAACAGAACAGCTCTTCTGGTGCTAAGAGAACAGAAGAGTTTTGTTGTGATTCTGGAAAAACTGAAACCGTTACGGGAAGAAGAAAAAATTAAATTGTATCTTTGAAAGATGGATTTTTGGAAGACATTTGTGTCCACAGGTCACCCGCGCACGCAAGTTGCGGTTTATCTTCTCCGTTTTTGGGACCCCCCCCCCTCCTGCGCATGAAAATCCCTCGGGATTTGTAGTTTGTTTTAGTGTGTTGAAAATGTACTATGTGATCTGAAATATGAAAAAGTTACTCCTTATGTGATACTATGCACTACGTATATCTTTTACGTTTATTTTTCTCCAGTGATTCCATTATTACTCTAGTCACTAGTCACATTTTTATAAACAAATTTTATTTTAATCATAAATGTGTAATTATTTCTTGCACTATTTGTTTAATTTTTTGCCGGTTATACACAATATTCTCAACAATCATTTATAAAATATTTTAATATATTCTTTCTAAACTCTAACTGTCTACTTTATTTGTTTCTTTGATGTGTTAGACTCGTATTTAGATGACAAATTTTCTTGAATTTAATTTTCATAAAAAATTGACGAAAAAATATTATAAACTTGTCCCTAAGCCTACTTTCCTTGTACTGTTCTGGACCCCTAAAATATCATGACCGGGCCTATGGTGATATACATTCTTTCGGGTTAGATGACGAGTATTCATGTTGCGGATTGATCTCAAGCTTATCATCTTTTTTTATCTTCTATTTCTACCTTATATTGTTTATCCTTTGATCTTTTTTAATATATATATATATATATATATATATATATATACACATATATATATTTATTCTTTTTATCCTTTTTATTTTTTAATTTTTGTTTATGTAGATCTTATTTATTTTAAAATATCTTTTTATCCTTTTTATTATACTTTATCTTTTTATTTTTATTATCTTTCTTTTCCTTTTGATTCTCATATCATATATCCATTCATGTTAATCGACCTAATTTTTTAGATGTTGTTGATCTTGATTGCTGTATAATCCGTATTACGGAGTATCTTTTTTTTACATGCCTTACCTTTTTTATTTATTATTATTTTTTTTCATATTGACTTAGATATCACATATCAATTTATGTTGCTGAATTCAAAATCATTTGGGATTGGTATTGTGGATGTTTTTTTTGCTAGAGTAGTAGAGTGTTGCGGATGTTATTGTTCAAATATATAGACAGTTCCTATACTATACACCCGGGTGTACATACACCCGGTATTTTTGTAATTAATAGCAAGATGCAGGTTTCTAATTAGGGAGCCAAGTATTTGTTTCCTTCATTTTTATCTTTCGTCCGACACATTCTCCTTCTTTTTTCTTTTTTCTCTTTCTTCCTGCTTACTTTTCCATTTTTTGTATCTTACATTTTTTGTTTTTGAGCTTTCTCTTCCGGTTTTCTCTTCCAGCTTCTCGATTTTTCTTTTTCAATTTATGCTTTTGTTTTTCTTTTCTCTTAATATTGACCTTTAATATTTGTAACATTAACTCTTCTTTTGACAAAAAAAATGCATTAGATTTTTTTCTGCATCCATTTTTCTTTTTTATTTTCCTTTAATTTTGAATTTTAACTTTTCTAATTTTAGTTTTTCTTTTTCGTTTTCTGCTTCCGTTCTTATATATACTTTTTTTGTTTTCTGCTCCTCTAATTTTGAACTCCTATTTTTTATGTAAATTTTCTACAAGAATTTTTTCATGCAATTCTCTCAAAGTTCATATCAAATAGCAATTCAATAAAAACATATACATTTCTCACTCTTCTATTAAAATGTACAACCTTCTAAATAATTAAGAGTATATTATTTAAATTAAATTTGCATTGATATAATTTTTAAAAATAAGCACAATAATAAAGTGATTTGTATGAAACAAGAAATTGATGCTTTTTTATGTTATACACAAATTGATACTTGAGTATACTAGAGATTTTCAATGTGTTTTTTAAATTTTTTTTTATGCTTATTTCGTAAGTTATATATGCTCATTTATTATTGGTGTAATGCTCGTTTTAAATGAGCATTACACCACACATTTTAAAATCTCATATCCATGCATATTGATCTAATGCTCATTTTAAATTTTTCGAAGCCCATTTCATAGGTTATGTACTCTCATATAATATTTGATCATACTGGAGATTTTAAATAATCTTTTTTATTTTTTCGATGCTCATTTACGTAAGTATGTATGCTCATTTGATATTGGTGTTGTAACACTTGAGATTTAATATAAACGGATTAATAGTACTACTCATACCAACAGAGGTGCATCTCCTTTTAAGGGAGCTCATTACCCAAGAACTCCAAAGTTGAGCGTGCTCGCACGGGAGTAGTCTTGGGATGGGTGACCCCCTGGGAAGTTTCTCAGGGTGCGCACGAGTGAGGACAAAGTGTGCGGAAAAGGCTAGTGGCGGTTTGTGAGGACAGTACTATTGGTCCGGAGTAACTACCTTGGGTCCTGCGGGGCCGGGGTGTTACAGGTGGTATCAGAGCAACCCTGCGACAGTGTGCTGATCCGTTGGATATCGGGCAGACACTTAGCAGGGGAAAAGATTCTGGGGTTTGATTGAGATTGGTATAAGGGCGCAACGAGGACGTTGCGATCCTAAGTGGGGGTGATTGTAACACTTGAGATTTAATATAAACGGATTAATAGTACTACTCTTACCAACAGAGGTGCATCTCCTTTTAAGGGAGCTCATTACCCTAGAACTCCAAAGTTAAGCGTGCTCGCACGGGAGTAGTCTTGGGATGGGTGACCCCCTGGGAAGTTTCTCAGGGCGCGCACGAGTGAGGACAAAGTGTGCGGAAAAGGCTAGTGGCGGTTTGTGAGGACAGTACTATTGGTCCGAAGTAACTACCTCGGGTCCTGTGAGGCCGGGGTGTTACAGGTGTAATGTTCATTATGTAAGTTACGTATGCTCATTTGATATTGATGGTATGCTCATTTTTAAAGTGTTATATCAATGCATATTAGTAATATTACAAATGTACCATATTACGTAAGACACACATATTGAAATTCATAGAAGTTGAGTAAAAATATAATTTCATAGGTTTTTATAAAAGAAAAACTAAAAGAAAAAATGAATTAGAAAATATGAAGTAGGAATCACGATGTTCGTTTTCTAATTTTTGGATACTCATTTTTTAATTTATTTATATTCATTTAATACCTCTGTAAGTTAGAAAATATGAAAATCTTAAGGTTTGTTAGTTGAATCTCACGACATTTTAATTGAGCATCAAAACTCGCCTATTGAGATGAAATTCATGGTTTCTAATGAATGAGCATTAATGAACTTTTAATGAGTGTCATACATATTCTGTTGAGTAATATGAGTCTAATATTGAAAATCGAAATCTCCGCTTTATAACTTCTAATTCACTTTCTCTTTGTTATTTTTTCTTTTATATAAATTTATGAAATTTTAATTATAATCAACTCCTTTAATTTAAATATGTGAATCTAATATAATATGGTACTTTGAAATATGTGTTGATATGACTTTTTAAAATTGAGCATAAATGAGTATCAATTGAGCATACATAACTTACAAAATGAGCATAAATGAGTATCAGTTAAGCATCAGCTCCAATTAGTTCGAGCAGGAGGATAAGAAGGGTTCTTT